TTTCAACTTATAGTGTTTCTAAATTTACCTTTATTGTAGGCCAGCAAAATTAATGGCTCTGCTAAGGTGATAAACGTGGGTGTGGCAAATGAGGTTATTACCCTTAGAATCTTAAGAATGAAAGGGCCATGCACAACTGCCTGCCGCATCAACACAAGCTTTTCCTTGCACTGCCATCCAAATGTCAATCTGGTCCAAAAGTCCATGCAAGATCTGGCAGCTGCTGGTCTTGGCATATTTAAAGTCATTAACAAACTGAAATTTTTTTATAAAATGCTGCCCATTGATGACCTTCAGCAGAAACTGACCAAACATGACATCTCTGCACAAGACTACAGAACAACATTCCCGAGGGATGATGACAGGCTTACTGCTGCAAGCAATATCTTCACAATGTCAGAGGGTCATCCATTTCAAGCTGGACTCAATGCCTTTAGAGAGAGAGAAACATTGCCACCACTGCTTTAGCTGAAAAGAATGTTAAAACAATACTGTTACATGAAATTATTATGAACAACTTTAATAGAGATTTAATTGAGAGAAATTGAGAATACATGTACCTTTCAATTGATATTTATCTGAGGGAAATTGAGAATACTGTTAAATAGACATTTATTTAAGAGAAATTATGGAAGACATTGTGTAGGTCTAGAAAATATCCATACTACCCCCACAGATGGGGTTTAGAAATTCCAGGACAAGAGGGTAGGGTCTGAGAGACCCAAAATTTCAAAGCAATGTATGAAGCTAAATTGGAATTTCTGGAGGGTTGGTGGGGTTATAGGGAAGATACCTTTCGGGCTGGGGATATAGATAATTATATTCTGGAACTACGCATTCACTTGAGAGAAAATATTAATACCTGTAAATTGAGACATTTAATTGAAAGAAATTACAAACTACCTTTGAATAGAAACTGAGAAATTATAAATACCTAAAAATAGAGACATTTTAGAGAAAGAAAGTAAAGAGACATTTACTTAAAAGAAAATAGTTGAATACCAAAAAAACAATATTTGTTATAAAATGTTACAGTCTTAAAATATGTTTGAATAATACAATGCAGTTACCTGACACTTAACATGTTATTCATTACAGATCCCATTTATACAGTTCTGGTTGTTAAATCGAATCTTTGCTAAAATTGAAACAAGCATAATTGATAAAGATGTTTATTTAAGTTACAGTTAAAATGCTACAGGTATTATGCATTATACAACCAAACAATGAAACAATACCCTTGATTCAAACTATGGACATGTTTGAATAGAGTGATTTCATAAGGGAAAAAGCAAATATGAAATTCTAATTCAATTTTTAGAATTTTATACAAAAGTCACACAGAAAAGTGATTCATTGCTGTCGTAATATGCCTGCATGCCCATTTACAGGACAATCATTCCAATTACATTTAAATTTGTGTTGCATAGAAATTGCAACATATTGATATATCATGCATTATCATACTTAAATTTGATAAGGAAAAAATAAACAACTATAATGTATACCACACTAAGTCAACAAACATTTATGCCTGCTGATTGACTTTTACCATGTCAAAAATCCCAAACAGTTCTGAAATTTGAATTGAGTGCCAAAAATTGAAATAGACACAAAGTTGAATTTAAAAATGTTGTGCATCATGTGTGCTATGGAACCTCCACTTTGGGCATGGCACACCTTCACAAGGAGATGCTTTTCCTGGTCCCGGTAAAATGCTCAGATACACCTCTATAAGGAGATTGGGACACTTTGAGTGCTGCAAGTGCTGTTTCAACCCCCATTAAGGGGACAACTACTAAGCTGCTAATGATTAAAATGCCACCAAAGACACTGAGTTGTTCCAGTTTCTGCATGCCTTTCAAAATAAATATGAACATACTTTGTATTTTTATTGTACATTGATTCTGCACTTATTGACAGGTTATTGCAGCAGTTGTCTACAAGTAGCAAGTCAAATCACAATTTAAAAAAGTCCAAGGTTGCTATCGAAAGCTTACGTCATGCATTTTTGGTTGCTTTAATAGATGGCTGCTTTGAAGGGAATAAAACAGGTATTTTTGTTCAAGTGGTTAATTATAAACAAAACTCCACCCACCCTCTATTCAAGGAACACAGGTATATTTATGGGACACTTCACAGTCCTGGGGGTGCCCTCTTAATGAAGGTTCCACCCTATCATTGACAAATCATCTGGCCCAGGTTGTTCAAATCTGGGTTAAGATAACCCATGGTTAGCATGGAATTTGATTTCAGGTCTGAAAGCTGTAAAAGAAAATTCAGTTCAAAGCTTTTTGCTTGTAATTTGATCAATGGATGTTCGAAAAAGAATAGGGAAAAATTTCTCTAAAAGGCTTTGGAAAAAAGAAATATAGAAACCTGCATTAAAATTTAACCCTGGGCTAGCACTAATCGGCCTTTGAACAACTGGGCTCAGGTGATTTTCTTGTGCAATCTGGAGAATAATAAGCACTCAGAAAATTTTCAAATATATCAAATATTTTGTGCTTGTTTATAACACGAGGTAATTTTCGAAAAAACACTTAAAATGGATCCCATAGTATGATATCATGTACTACATAATCTTCAGGATTACTGGATGTTGGCCTTCTCTGATCACTCCCGATAACCACACCATGTTGCCACCATATTAAATTCGCATTCGATTCAGAAAAAGATACACAACTTTCGTAAAACACCTCATTTCTTGTGATAAAACTACGAATTTATCAAACCGTTCGACACAACCAATCTCTGACTAATGGGAAATACAGCTGGCGAAGGTATATGTGAGCCCGCACCATCTGGCTTTTTACTTCCTCTTGAACCGGAAATGAAAAAAAAACGTGGAACCAAAAGAACCAGAAGAACTAAGAGAACCACGAGGACCACGAGAACCACGAGGACCACGAGAACCAAGAAAACCAAGGAAACCACGAGAACCACAAGAACCAGAAATACACAATTACCGTTACTAAGAGTTAAATTATGTGAAGTCAGATAGTACAAGAACCACAAGAACCAGAGAACTACCGAGAACTACACAATTACCG